ACATGCCGGATCACAGTCCTGCCCGGAGCAGGTTTGCCGCACACCCCGCCGTGCGCAAAGGCCGACAAGCGTAGGGCGAGGACCCGTCCATCGCCGCTTGCGGCTTTAATTTTTTTTAAATTTATTATTACTTTTGTCAGTTTCATCTTATTTCAGTGACAGTTGTTTTTTTCCTTCTTTATTGGGAGGGTATGAATACATTAGAGGACGGCTGTATATATTCCAATACTTAGATATTATTTAAAGCAGTTTTCTAATCTTTCTGGATTGTGATTCTTTAAAAAAAAAAAACTTCTGATTTCAGCTGCTCTTCATCAAAGGTGGCGTACGTCAGTGCTTTTCTTGACCACTTAAATCTGAGATTCTTGCTGATTTATCTGAGCATTCATTAGGAACTTTGAAGTAGCCCTTCATGGTTTATGGTAAAGCTGCAACCATTTTTTTAAATATCGTGATTTGTTTGTTTTTTAAAGTCAAGCTTCAGTTCAATATTGTGTACTAGATTTAAAGCATGTGATGGATCATAAGATACCATGCTAACCATGACTGTCACACAATGAGGACAGCATGAATTTTTAAAACCGTTGACATGACAGTTTAAACCCTCGGTCAGACGTGATGCAAAATGTACGAGGTGTGACTATTAAATAACAAGGCAGGGCTTGTGTCAGTCAAACCACAGTGTGTATGCTTGAACCACGTAGTGTACATTATTCAATTAGCAGCATAAACAACCTATTAAACTTGAAATCTTTAAAAAGCTTGACCTCGTGAATTTATTGTAAACTGCAGCCTTTGTGATTCGTTAAATGCATTGTGTCAAATTGCGGTCGTCATTTGAAATTGATTAACTGTTCAGCGGCAGCATGAATGTATGAAATTATTCAGTTATTCTTAAGCAAAACGAAAAGATTAGAAACGAGAATCAAAGTTGTTGTGCAGGGGGAATGTGTGTTTCGCCCTTCATATTGTGTTATTCATCTTTCAGATCCTCAGATTTATCTGCCGAGTCTTAACCTCCAGGCTTGAAGCCGCTGATCTAAAGGGTGCTGTATAAAACCAAATAATGACTAAAATGTTGAGGGCTGATCTTCGGGGAACACATTTGTGTTAACATTTCGAACAGACCTGTGAGGCAAAGGAACCTGAAGGGTTCAAAGGCAGTCAACAGATGAGGTCATTTTGTGCCGGGATATCAGACATGGCAGCGCAATCTATCCATCCAGCCTTTCATCTCTGAGCATCCTTGGGCCCAACCTGACGCTGACCAGAGTGAGCAGAGCAGCTCAGACGTTGGCTTTCATCAGTAACATCCTCCAGTGGCCGGCAGAAACATTTCATCTGTCTAATGTGTCCTGAGTCACATCGTCTCTCTCAGCTGTTCATTTTTTCGACCACTTTCAAATGGAGCTTAATGCAGGTGGCTTCACATCGAACTTCCCTCTGATCAGTGAACGTTTCACCTCCTAACACCAAACAACTCTTAGTACCTTCCAGACACTAATTACCATATGTCTGTCATCCCATGCCTTCAGTCTCTACCCAAAGCTCAACGCTGAGGTAGATGTTTTTAAAATCCTCATCCTCATTTGACCTGTCCTTGTGCAGAGGTTTGTGTTTTCCAGGAGGAGCGGAGGTGGAATAATTCATGTTTGACTCCCACATGGTAATGAAAGAGATCCTCTTCAGAACCCCTCCACACTCCTGCTCCATCTTTTCTTCATGCAGTATTTTTCTGTAGCTCAGTTGTGCTGCTGATCAATATGATAGCGTGGCGAGAAGTCTGAGCCGACTTCAAAGGGCCGCTCTGTGCCCCCGGCAGTTATTGGAAGCTAAGATGTAGCCCTGCACCGCTGCTGAGGCTGCGGAAGGAATAATGAGCCGGGCTGATAGACACACATAGAGGCACACACATGCAAATAACATTAAATATATGATTCTATGCATAATGTAATGGGCCTTTTGGGATTTTATGGCTAAATGTATGTTCGATATATCATGAACAGGTACCGAATATCATGAGTATATGTGGAGGTTTGTGGAAAGAGAATATACATTTAAAAGGAACTAATATTGCTAACATTCTAATTTCTCATTAAAACTGCAGGAGTGTTAATATATCAGCGTTCTTGCTTACTCTGCAGACGCAAGTTGAAAATGAGGACACTGAAAAAATGCTGCATACTGAGTGAGGTTTGTCCTCAGCATCACCTAATACGCATTCACTCAGTATCTAACCGACTGTAATAAAATAATGCAACACAGTGGGATTACAGATGTGCTGCCTGAGTCAGAGTCTCCCTGCTCTTCAGTTCGTTCTCCTGTTGGTATGTTTGGTTCTTCTGTGGCTTTGCAGTCACTTTATTCACCAGCAGTTCAGCAGCTCTGTGCAATAGTTGGAATGTATTGCAGATGTGCAGCAAAGTGCAAGTTAACTTTTTAATCAGCACACTGTAAAACTGTTGAGGTCAAGTGAATTTCATGCCTTTCACATAGAATATTATCATAAATACAATGAGAGTGAGCTTAAATGTCACATACTCATTTTATAATAGCTGGTTTCATTTGGCAATGACTGAGCTAATGCAGATTATGAGGTTGTAACTTTATCGACTTGCATCTAAGCACCTAATATATGCCAAGCTCAGAGTTCCTACAGCCTCTGTTTGATCCATTAAAAAAAAAGAGAGTACACTAAAGTTTGCCCAGGAAGTCCAAATTTGCAGATTGTATTTTCTAATTGGGCGACTCTCTCGTGTCTTCTCAGGGGCAGGCACTGATGCCAATGTGTGGATCATCATTTTTGGAGAGAATGGCGACACGGGAACACTGGCGCTGAAAGAATGCAGCAAGTCCAACAAATTTGAACGCAAGCAAGTGGACACGTTTCGTTTCTCGGACATCCTCAGTCTGGGAGACCTCTCCAAAGTACGAGTCTGGCACGACAACACAGGTCAGCCGTTCAGATAAACAGTCCCTCTGCACAGCGGGCTACTGAAAGTCTGTCACTGTCGTTTTGAAAAGTGTAGCACAAACAAGATTCACTTAATGAAATGACAACTAAAGCTACGTTTACACAAATTAAGATAAATCAAGTGTTTGATCTGTCAGGAGAGATGACTGAGTCACCGCTATCAGTGGAAACCTGACGCAAATTTTTACTCATTGGCCCAAAAGATTCCTGCATTACTCTCCTTTTTCGTTTCCTGATCCATCACATCCAGGTCCTGCACCAGGATGGCACTTGGAGTACATTGATGTGAAGGACGAGATCATGGACAAAACATTTCGTTTCCCCTGTGACCGCTGGCTTGCAAAGAATGACGATGATGGACAGATCATGAGGGAGCTGGCCTGCGCTAACAACGACTACTTAGACCTCAACGAGAAGACCAGTAAGTACAGTATCCATACAAACTATCCTATTTATTTTTATGTACAGGCGTCTTTTTGTGAGTTTAAATTCTACGTGGAAATGATGCAGCTGCTGTTTGAGACGACCAACTGCAACTGTGTCCATGTCTTCTCTTCAAAAGAGTATGAAATTTGTGTTACAACCGGAGACACGGCTGAAGCTGAAACCAAAGAAAACGCGTGGATTGTACTTGAGGGGAAGAAGTGCCGATCAAAAGAATTTGTAATGGAGAACTCTTCAAAAAAGAAGAGGTTCTTGCGGTAGGTACTTGTTGCAATCAGCTGCAACTTGTTTGCATGAAAAAGGACAAAGAAATGTGCTTTCTCTCCCTCTAGTTCTCCGTTCACACTTATTATGATAATCCCACCAGCACCGAGTACTTGAGCCCAGACCAGTGCTGCACTCCTCTATCACACCATTACAGCGTCCTGTTGAAAATTCATTCTGTCACAGAGCAAATTGGCAAGGACATGAATTTAAAGTATGTAAGCCAATTTAGGACAATTGCTTCTCACTCCAACATGTCTACGCTCTTCTTTTTTTTAGGGGAAACGTTGACAGGTTTGAGTTTTCGTCCAAGACCCTGGGTGATATCGCAGGTATCTGCCTGGGCCACACACCCAAGGATGGAAAGAAAGTAAAGGGAGAGTTTTACTGGTTTGTGGAGGAGGTCGTCGTGACTGAACGAGAACTGGGAAACAAGTAAGTAACCTGCTACTGTTCATAGTTCTGTCCACTATTTTTTACGATACTCAAATCATCTGTTGGTATTTCCAGATAAAATGTCAGATTAGATCCTTCCTTCTCTGTTCCATCACCTCCAGGTACATCTTCACCTGCAATGCCCTCATCCCTCTGTCTCCTAAGAGGGACGATTTCTTGACCTTCGAGTGCACAAAGACCATCGAGAGCTTCGCCAGCAAAGCTCGAAGCCTGGTGCCCGTCAAGTACGAGATCATCGTCATCACGGGCGACGAGAAGGGAGCGGGAACCGACGCCAACGTTTTCATCACCATCTACGGCACCAACGGAGACTCAGGCCGTCGGCAACTGCGGCAGAAGTTTCGCAACCTTTTCGAACGCGAGCAGACGGACCGTTTCGTGCTGGAAATGCTGGACATGGGGGAGCTGCAGAAAGTTCGAGTGGAGCACGACAACTCCGGTCTGAGCCCCGGCTGGCTGCTGGACCGAGTGGAAGTCACCAACACAGCCAACGGTGTCACCACCATCTTTCTTTGCGGGAAGTGGCTGGACACTGAGAGGGCCGACGGGCAGATCTCCAGAGTCTTCTACCCGAAATACTAACAGTGAGACTATTTGTGAAAACTCCCGCAGCAGAGGGATGTTCACAAGTAATGACCAAAGAGATTCTGCTTCTGGCAGGTTGTACATCTCAGGAACTGTGACAGATTTTTACATTCATAGTTTTTTTAATATTATATTATGCTTAGAATTGTAATATTATATCCTGCAATGAAATATTGTGACGATGTCTTCTTTGGTCAGGAAAAAGGAACGTGCCATTCTTTTTAAATTTCATACATCAGGGATGGTTTGCTCTGTTGTTTTGTTATAATGGAGGTTTTATAAAAGATTAAACTCTTTTGTGATACTCAGAATGACAGCTTTCAACTGGTTTGATGTTCTTACACATTTCAGAAGCTTTATTTTAGACATTTATTTTATGTGGAGGGTGTCTCCCTGACAAACCCACAAATCAGTTTTCTGTAGCTAAATCATTTGATTTTATAACTTTGATTCCGTCTTCAACCTGATTCCGTTACAAGCACCTGTTCTGGGGTAGATATTCTGAATAAAACACTGCACAAAGCAGGCTGTTCTCCCAGCACAGACACACATATAAGACTGCAACAGACTTTATTGACGCCGACCACAAATCTCAGACATAAATGCGCTGTGCTCCTGCATCGATCTGCCCTGCTCTGCTGGAGCACACACATTTTCTAGCAATAACAAAGGGCAATCTCTCCAATAAAGGCGCACAGGTGTGTCCTGTGTCTCGCCGGCCCGGTCGGTCTCAGCACGCCGCTGCATAAGAAGCAGAGACTGATGAGGCAAAGCGCAGCAGCTGTGCCAATCAGCTCACCCTGTTACTGCTCCCTGAACCGGCCTGCCCCACCTCTCCCCCTGCAGCTGAACCAAACCACACCTACACCCCAGTAACACTGTTCACAACCTGTCCAACACCAAATGCCAACAGACAGACGAAATTAGCAACCAGCTGGGGAGCATTAACTAATCCAAAGCGGAGCTAAAAGGAAAGCGATGAGTGGACTCACATCCAACAGGTGGCAAAACGATGCAGTCTGTTTGTAAGACTGCTAGCTGAAGGGTTTGCTTTAACACATTTATGAGGGGATTGTTGTCTGTTTTTGCTCTTTTTTTTTGCTACTTTAAAAATTAATCTTCTCCTATGAACTTATTTAGAAACATAACAAATGCAGGTGCTAGCATCTGTATGGTACAATTAACATCCAATAAAAATGGTGAGCAGGCCTGATTTTGTAGCAAGAGGGTTCATCGTTGGGGCACAGATGGCAGGAGCTTCAGTCACAAAGACTGCTCAGCTGGTTAGTGTTTAATAGGAACAGTGACATTTGCATGCAGCCAGCAGCTCACATTTGTTGACCACGATGCAGAAAAAGAAAAAGAGAAGAGCATCCATTCCTCAGCTAACTGTTATATCCAGTGCAGGACATAATCAGACTGTCTTCAAGAGCAGTCCATTTACGGTCACATAGAGAGAGAAAATATTGTAGGGTTGCAATGTATGAAATCCTCATTAAAGATGAACACACATTTGAGTTACTGCTGCAGAACCCATCAGCTTTACAGAGATGTGGGAAAAGCTGATATAGTCAGATGATGGATGACTCCTGTCACCATATTCTCAGTGCATGCCTGACCTCCTGACCCATGTATTTAAAGGATTTGGTGGCTCTGTCATGTTGCGGGGGACATTTCTCTGGCATGGTTTGGGGTTTACATGTCCTCCTACATGGAAGAGTCGCTGCAAATCAATGCAAAGTAGTTCTGAGTGGTCAGTTTTATCTAGTGATGCATGATATCAAAATGTCTGGCCGATACCGATATTAAGATTTCTGATATTGCTGATAACCGATATTACCGATGTCGATATTCAAGTTTTGTTCACACTGAAAAATGAGTATAAGTAAGCACTGTGAGAACATGACAACCATTTAAAGGAAGCCCAAACCACATTAGACCACATAGTCTTCTTTGTTACGTAACAAAAGTAAAACATACTTAAACATATTTCAACATATTTAACGTTCAAGTCCAGGACCAATTAAGCAAAAACATCTGTGAAATAGCAGCAATATCAAATGTTAGACACGCTAATGCCGCCGGTTTTTCCCATCTGCCAAATTTCTTCATCAGACAAACACTAATATCAACCGATGCGGTCGCCTGTATATCGTGCATCCTTAGTTTTATCCTATGATGAAACATTTATATCTTGAAGGAAGTGGTCTCTTCCAGGAGATGTCACCATATATGCTTCATGAAGGATCACTGAATGGTTTGATTAGCATGAAAATAATGTGAATTATATGCTACGGCCTTTACAGTCAGCAGAGCTCAACCCA